ATCCAGCAATATGTTAAAAAGATAATACAACATGACCGAGATGGGATTATTCCAGGAATGCAAAGTTGTTTTAGATTTTGAAGTCAAATAATGTACTGTACCACATAAGCATAAAAGAATAATCAGATGCTTACCTCTGTAAATGCAGATACAATAAAATTTGACAAAAATTTAACATTTATTTGCTAAATAAAATAAAACAAATATTCTTGAACTCCCGGCCTCAGGTGATCCGCCCGCCTTGGCCTCCAAAGTGCTTGGATTACAGGCGTGAGCCACCACGCCCGGCAAAATAAAACAAATATTCTAAAAAATTTTTGGAACAATTTTTCAACAAATTTTTGTTCTAAAAAATTTTAAGAACAGTCTAGTCATATTCATGATGTTTTTAAAAAGCACTTAACAAACTAGAGATAATGGGGAACTGTCTTAAATTTTTTATGATATTTACAGAAAACCTACAAGTAGTATACTTAATCATGAAATTATGAAAGCATCCCTCTGAGATGAGAACAATGTGATGCTTTCTGTGAGCCTTTTACTGAGTCCTAAACCAGTGCACTAAAGTAAGAAAAGGAAATGTAAGGTATAAAGATTGGAAGTGAAGAAATTAAACTATTACAGATAACATGATTGGGTATGCAGAAAATTCAAAGAATGTTCAGATAAATTAATAAAATTAGTGAATCTAGGAATATTGTTGGAAATAAGTTCTCTATATTTTTAAAAGTGCATTTTTATGGAATAGTTACAAACAATTAGAAAATGCCATTTAAGAGGTGGGGATGGGGCTGACAAAGGAGCTAAAGATATGGCTGATAGGGTAGGAGTCATGGAGATACCCAAATGGGTGTCCAGTGGGTTGGGAGACTGGTTATTTATGGGTAGAGTGAGAGAATAAGCAAACCTATCAAAGATAATGGGAGGTAGGTCTTTCACAGTTGGAGAAGGGAGCTACAAATATATAAAGGGGCAGAGGCAACAACGAACCTTGTGGTTGAATTGAAATTGGAGGTATCAATGTGAATTTATGGTTTTTGATACACAGAGATATAGAAAGCTACAGATCAATATTCCTCACAAACATAGACTCAAAAATCCACAATAAAGTATTGACATATTGAATCCAGCAATATATGAAAAGAACTAGACCTCGCTACCAAATGGGATTTATTCTAGTAATGCAAGGCTGGTTTGTCATTCAAAAAGTATTGTAGTTCACTATATTAACAGGTTAAAGAAGAAAAACCAACTTCAAAAAAATGGACATCAAATATTTAATGACTTAGTTCCAGGGAAATGTAGAAACTTCACTCTTACATAGCTCGACTCAGTCCTACCCGTTGTTGTACTGTTGTTACCCACGTTACATCTTTATATGTTACACACCCAGCAATGCATTCTTGATAATTATTACTTTATATAATCTTATTATGTCTTTTAAAGAAGCTAAGACAAAACACTGAGGGCAAATGTAAATTTCTAAACCTGCTTGCTTACCCTTTTGGTTCTTTTCATTTCTTCTTGTGGATCTGAGTTACATCTGGTGTCATTTTCTTAACCCAGTAAAGCTTTAGTCCTACATTACCTTTGTACTGTTATTGTCAAATATATTCTATTTGTTACATTTCTACATGTTATAAGTCAAACCATACTCTCTATATATAGTACTTTTGCATATATATGCATTTGCTTTTTAAATCAGCTTAGAGAATAAAGATGGTATAATATGCAATTATACTCTTCATTACCTGCATAATTACTCTACTGTGCTTTGGTTTGTTTGATTTTCCTTTTTTGTATGAATTCATATTACTGTCTGGTTACCTGCTCTCAGCATGAAGGACTTTCTTTACTATTTCTTGGAAGGCAGTTCTTCTAGTAAAAAATTTTGTAAGATTTTATCTGAAAATATCTTTATGTTCATATTTATCTTCATGTTTAAAATATGAAAATATGGTTTTGCTGGATGTAAGTTTTTTTTTCCTACTCTCAGTATTTTGCATATGTCTCCTACTGCCTTCTGGCCTCCTTTGTTTCTGAGAGAAGCTAGATGTTATGTGATTAATCATTTTTCTCTTAGGGCTTTCAATATTTTCTTTTCTTTCTTTTTTATTTTTTTTTGAGACGGAGTCTCACTCTTTTACCAGGCTGGAACACAGTGGCGTGATCTCGGCACACTGCAACCTCCAACTCCCAGGTTCAAGCGATTCTCCTTCTTCAGCCTCCTGAGTAGCTGGGACTGCAGATGCATGCCACCACACCCAGCTAATTTTTGTATTTTTACTAGAAATGGGGTTTCACTATGTTGGCTAGGATGGTCTTGATCTCTTGAGCTCATCATGTGCCCACCTCGGCCTTCCAAAGTGCTGGGATTACTGGTGTGAGCCACGGTGCCCAGCTGGCTTTCAATATTTTCTTATCTTTGGCTTTCAATATTTTGTTTTTGATGTGTCTGGATCTAGATTTCTTTGCATTTATCCTACTTGGAGTTTATTGTACTTCTTGGATGTGTAGGTTTATGTTTTTGAACAAATTTGAGGTTTTTCAGCATTATGTGTTTGAATATTTTTTCAGTTTTTCTTTCTTCTCCTAGTGCTCACATTACACACAGTACACATATGTGAGTGCATTTAATGGTTGCCCACATTTCTCTGAAACTCTGTTGATGTTAGTTTTTCTTAATTATTGTTTCTCTTTGTTCTTCAGATATTGCACAATCTCTGTTGATCTATTTCAAGTTTGCCAGCTTAAAGGTACTGTTGAGCCCTTCTAGTGAATTTTTCATTTTGGTTATTGTACTTTTCAACTCCAGAATTTCCACTCAATTTTTAAAATATTTTGTCTTCTTACTGATATTCTCTATTTGATGAGACTTGTCATCATACCTTCCTTTAATTATTTAAGCATAGTTTCCTTTAGTTCATTGAACATATTTGTATTAACTACTTTGAAGTCTTTGCAAAATCTACCATCTGGGCCGCTTCAAAGGCAATTTCTATTGCCTGAATGCTTTTTTTCTTTCTTTTTCTTACTGGTCACATTTATTTGTTTGTTTATGTTTCAATTTTTTGTAGGCTGAATATTTTAGACAATATGTTGTAGCAGTTCTGATATGTGTCCCCCCAGGAGATTGTTGTTGGTTGGCTGGCTGATTATCTGTTTAGTGACTTGGCTGAGATAATTCTGTAAAGTCTGTTTCCCTGTAGTGTGCAGCCTCTCATATCCTTAAACACAGATATTTTTCATTTTTTTCTTTTGGCCTTGCTACCTAGGGCTGCCCATGAATTGCCTAAGCTGCTTATTAGTTACAGATTGTACGTGAACCCCCTCAGTCAATTAGATTTTTACCTTTTCTACCAAATTTGTGTGTGGCTTGGAAACTGCTATCATAGTTCAGAGAGTTAATAGCGTTTGCATCATGTTCAGCCAGAGACTGGTAGTTTGGATGTCCCCTCTCTCATTGTACATAAGGGGATACAGCCTTGGGCATGCACACAGTCTTCCAGGTTGCGAGGGCTGAATATGATTTCATTTTTAAGCCTGACCTCCTAGGAGATGCCTCTGGGTCAGGAGAGCTTACTGCTCAGCGTTTGGTAGGCTGTTGTGTTTGGTAGGCCCATTGTGCAAGTGAGACTCTGCCCTGTGTTAACAGGTCTTTGTGTAGCTTAGGAGATGCTTTCAAGTTTTCCCACATCCCACTCTGACTGCGCCTGAATTAGTACAACCTAGCACATAAACAAGGCCTTCCAGCCCCTAGAGCTGTCTGTTATCCCTGAAGAGCTCTTTTTCACTGTCTCTTTCCCATGTTCTCTGTCAAAATTCCACTGCTCTATATCATTTTGCTTATAGCCTAGAGTTATTAGCCTCCTCTTAATCACTTTCCACTAAGATCTCCGTTGTTTTAGAAAGTGTGCAGAGGCATGGGCTTTTCCATGTTCTATTCCAAATAAAGTCAGTCCCCTCAAGCACAGCTCCCTGCCTTAGCACCTGACTTTCCCATGGGCAGAACCTTTGCCTCACTGCACCAGAGCTGATGCAGGGACGTGCATTTCCAGGAGTAACATCCTCACTTCTGTCAGTGACACTTGAGGGTTTGTGTGTGTGCGTGCATGCATGCGCCTGCAGGTGTGTAAGCCCTGGTCTTTCTGGCTTGCCCTTCATGGCTTGGAACTTTCATCCTGTGAGCAAACTGCGTCAGGAATAATTGGGGCACAGTTATTCTCAGTATGTTGAACTTAGAGTGGAGCTTCTTCCAACAAGTGAGGATGGGCAGTGGGGAAGAGGATCTGGGCACTCTTGGCCACACCTGCTTGGAATAGAGCTTCTGCCACATGGGGCTAGGGTAAGAATAAGAAATCCCAGCAGTTTGCCTTTCTAGACTGAAATCATAGCCCAAGCTATGGGGAGAAGGAATCCCTTGCCTTGGCCACACCTGCCCAGAGTGCACAGCAGCGAAGTTTCTGGAACTAAGGCCATAACAGAGTAAGTCATGGCTCAAATGCAGCAGACTCTGTTCTTACCAGGATTGAGTATATTTTCTTGAATAAATGTTTTTCTGTTTGCTCTGTTCCCTGAGGACAATTTCTAAAGACATTTTATTTGTTTTAGACAGGGTCTCACTCTGTCACTGAGGCCGGAGTGCAATGGTACACTCACAGCTCACTGCCGCCTCAGCCTCTCCAGCTCAAGCCATCTTCCTGCCTCAGGCACATGCCACCATGCCCAGCTTATTATTTTTATTTCTATAAAGACAGGGTCTCACTATGTTACCCAGACTGTTCTCAAACTGCTGGGCTCAAGGGATCCTCCCACCTCAGCCTCCCAAAGTGTTGGGACTACAGGTGTGAGCCGCTGCACTCAGCCTTCTAGAGACTTTAAATGAGTGTGTGTGTGTGTGTGTGTGTGTGTGTGTGTGTGTGTGTGTGTGTTTGTGTGTGTTTAGCATATTTACCATTTAACCTACATTGTCGGAGAGAAAGTCAAATTGAGGTCCTTACCCTTCCATTCCAGAAGTCCACCCTCTCTGGGCTATTTTTGAAGGTTCTGTGAACATATAATTATGCCAAAAACATTTTGAAAAAACAGCAATAATTGGTTGGTTCTAGCATTAAGAAACCTGTATGATTCAGTCTTTAACGTTCATAAAGTGAAAAAGAAATGGGAGTGTTTCATCTTCAGTAATTTGCAAGCTTCATAGAAAACAGAATATTAGCATTCACAAGAAGCCACATTTTGTGCTGACAGAAGGTTCTACAGCACGAAAGGACGTTCTGCTCTGTCTAGGGGAGCACCTGAGGGGTCTGCACCCTTATCGATGTTAGAGGGTGTGTGCATACCCTCTTCACTGGGTATCTTTGTCTCCTGCAGATTCGCTCAGTTGTGTGGAATGCAGATGATAGCAAACTGATTTCTGGTGGCACAGATGGTGCTGTGTACGAATGGAATCTGTCCACAGGAAAGAGAGAGACAGAATGCGTGCTCAAGTCTTGCAGCTACAACTGTGTTACTATCTCCCCCGATGCCAAAATTATCTTTGCTGTTGGAACAGACAACACCCTCAAGGAGATTGCAGATTCTTCGGTGAGTCTGTCCCCGCCCCACCTCTGGGCTGCTGCATGGATCTGCAGGGACAGCCTCCCGTGTTTACAGCAGAAAGTATGCACGAAACGAGGGCCTCCGCTTACAGGGCCCCTTCTTTCCGGGATAACGTCAGGCTCATCGTTCCTTTTGGATTAGCTCAATTATCGTCACTTCCTGAATTTCCTGCCCAGGTCCCTCCTGACTGGGTGAAATTGTAGATTGTGGGGCTCTTTTTCATTTCCATTGTACTTGCTGTCTGTAACTTCCACCTTCCAGGCACGGAGGTCATGTCATCTCTAAACTGCAGTTACCCTTGGTCTGCACTTACTTTCCTGGGGTAAAAACCTAGCTACAGCATGCACTGAGTAACACCAGGGACGAACCGCAGAGACTCTAAGATTAGAATGCCATGAGAGTATAATGCCAAATTTTCACTGCACCTTTTCTGTTTAGATACACAGATACTTTCCATTGTGCCACAGTTGCCTACAGTATTCAGTATAGTCACGTGCTGTTCAGTTGTAACCTAGGAGCGGTAGGCCCTACCACATAGCCTAGGTGTATAGCAGGCTGTCGCAGCTAGGTTTGTGTAAATACTCTCTGATGTTTGCATGACAAAACAGCCTAACCATGTATCCCATATCAAGCGATGCAGGACTGTGCAGTCAGCTGCTATCACCTAGCCTTGCCACTGTATTCTTTTGAAATCCCCAAACTCTGAAACTGTACAGTTATGTTGGGCTCCAGATAGTGAAGGGAAGAGAGAGGAGCTTAGCAAGGATGCATAACATAAACACGGCCTGTGCGCTCCTCCAGCTGGCTCCTCCGGCGTTTCCTGTGACTGGTGCCTGGGAAGGTGCATAGATACCACGGCAGCAAACCAGCCCAAGGAGGTCTCCCCGTGGTTGGAACACAGCTGAGAGTATGGTGACTCTCCTGTGTACCCCAAGTATCCCAGTCCTCATTCAATAGCAGTTATCAGTGCTCTGCCAAATAAAGCCCTTTTAGCTGGCACACTGCGTGGTGCACAACGTTCAGTAAATATGTGTGTAGCTGGGAGGGTGGAGGAGTGTGTGGAGGAGCGACGGAATGAAGGGGTGCTCTGAGAGTACAGCAGTCCCCCTTATCCACAGTTTTAGTTTCCCGTGGTCAGCCAAGGCCTAAAAACAGGCGAGCGCCAAACAGTAAGATATTTTGAGAGAGAAACCTCATTCACATAGCTTTCATATGGTATTGTTGTAACTGTTCTATTTTATTATTAGCTATTATTCATCTCTTAACTGTGCCTGATTTATAAATTAAACCATATCGTAGTTATGTATGTACAGAAAAAAGACGTATATATAGGGCTCTGTACTACCTGTGCTTTCAGGCATCCACTGGAAATCTCAGAACATACCCCTCGAGGATAAAGGGAGACTAATGTATAGTTTTGTTTATGTAATAGGCATTAATAAATGCTTACTGAACACATTTGTGACCAATATCCCATTCGCATTTTGAAATGCACCCAAGCATAGCAGTCAAAGCAGAGACTGGAGCCCACCTAGGTACATGAGTTGAAGCAAGTCCCTTGTCACACAGATGGCCCATCGTCTGTAGACTAAGGGTAACAGTTACTGCCTCGGAGGGCTTTGTGAGGACTGAATGAGGTGCAACGTGGAGAAGGCACAGAACAGTGCTTGGCACAGAGTCAGTGTGATATGAGGTCTCTCTTTATCAGTGTTACTCCTAACTCGTGAAACTGGTTATTCACTAGCAACACAGCTAGAATATCTAGTTTGTGCCTTTTCTGTGCTAGGCACTATTTCAGATGGCAAAAGGGATAGAAAAAGCATTTTTTAAAGACAGGCCCCTAGGGATGCTGTTAGAGGAGAGGGAGGGAGAGAATGGCACCGGGACCCAGGGGCCACAGCTCGGCCCCTCACACTGAGCAGAGCTACCTGTGTCCCAGATCCTTCGAGAAATACCGGCGTTTGACGTCACCTACACAGCCGTTGCCATCTCGCATTCCGGACGCATGATGTTTGTGGGCACCTCGGTGGGAACCATTCGTGCCATGAGGTACCCTCTGCCCCTGCAGAAGGAATTCAATGAGTACCAGGCCCATGCTGGTCCTGTCACCAAGGTGAGCAGGGCTCTGTCCCCAGGAACCCAGTCCCACACCTGCCTGTCACATGCCTGCTTCATCCCTTCAACTTCCCAGTGGCTTTTCTGTGTCCTTACTCTCTCTTCTTGTTTATTCATGATCGTTCATTGAATCAACATCTGTTGACTACGAATAAGCTCTTTGTTTAAACTACTTCCAGGAATTTAGCCTAGGAAATCATCAGAGATACACCTAAAAATGTATGTATTGCGTTTTCGCCACAATATCCTGCATACTAAGGAGCCGTTTGGTGGATGCCGTAGCTGCCATGAGTGTGGGCTGCGCTTGACCACAGCTGCCTCCTTCTCCAGAAAATGACCCCAGGCTGAAAGGAGCCATAGCCCAGAAGCATAGCTCCTACCGCTCCTTGAGGGTACAAAAGGCCACCCCGGGGCAATACCATGAGCACAGATTTGTAAATTGTCCTTCCACTCCCCCTTCTCATAAAGTCGTGTCTGTGATAACAACCGTCAAAATGTGGAAGCAACCAAGTATCCATCGACAGATGAATGGATAAGTAAAATATGGGATGTCTATACAATGGAACCGTATCCTGCCTAAAAAGGAAGGAAATTCTGCAGTGTGCTACCACACCGATGAACCTTGAGGATGTTATGCTAAATTAAACAAGGCCCACCACAAAAAGACGAATACGGTATGATTCCACTTTTAGGAGATACTTAGAGCAGTCAGAATCACAAAGACGGAACAGTGTTGGCAGGGGCCGTGAGGAGGAAGGAATGGGGAATGATCATTTCGTAGGTACAGAGTTTGGGTTTTGACAAAAGGGTTATGAGGGTGGTTGGTAGTGATGGTTGCAGAGCATTACAGGTGCATTTAATAACACTGAGCTCTACACTTGAAAATGGTTAAGATAGCAAATTTTACAGAATGTGTATTTTACCACGATTTTAAAAATGAAATAAAAAAGAATGATCTTGCATGCGAAATGGTCGCCAAGAAATCATAGCCAATAGTAAATTAAAGGTTATTCATAGTCTGAAAAAAAAGTAACATCTGTATCTACACTGACCTGCTGAAAAACAGGCACTGGAAAGTGTGTGTCTCCTCTTCCTTACTCCCTCCTTCCACAGGTTGAATGACACAGCACCTGAGGTTTTTAATTATGTCCCAAACTCTGTAGTGGCTTACCTACAACACTAGCAGGATTAAGAAAAGATTTTCCTTTATAAAACAGAACATTGCTGTATCAAGCCTGGGCCTTGGGTCCAGAGGAAATTTCTACAACATATTCCCCCTCTTCCCTTCAAATCTACCAAGTTTTGTGGATGAGGTATTTATTTTTCTGATTATAAAAGCAACGCATATTTATTTTAGAAATAAAAATTCTCATAATAGCATCATCATTATTTTGATGCATTTCCTTCTACATTTCCATGCAGGTGTGTTTTAAACAAAATGAAGATCTTACTGTGAGGCCACTCTCGTTACCTGCTTTTTTTTTTAACTTCACGCTACTGTAAATTTCTCCATACAATTAAATATTCCTCAAAAGCGTGATTTTAGTAGCTATGCAAATATCCTATCATATGGTGGGCTGTAACTTACTAACTCTTCTCTTGCTATTAGGCATTTAAATTATCTTATGATCTATAATGAATAGCCCAGTTTACAAATTTATATGCACCTCTCCGATTCTTTCCTAAGACTAAATTCCTAGAGAGGGAGAGAATTCCTTAATGCAAGAGTATTACCATTTTCAAGATTCTTGACACATATTGCTGATTGTAAGAAGACGTTTTTTGTAGTTAACTCTTTTAACTTGTTATGCTGAAATACTTACAGATTTCAGAGGAAATTTTAAAGGGTACAGAGGTCCTATGTATCCTTCACTCAGTTTCCCTCAATAATTACATCTTATTGAACTGTCAGCAAAATATCAAACCAGAAAATTGACACTGATACACTGTGTATATCTAGTTCTGTGTTATTCCTCACATGCATAGTTTGTGTAACCACCACTAACATCACAATATAGAGCCATTCTGTCACCACAAAGATCTCCATGCTACCCTTTATAGGGTACAGTGGCTCACGCCTGTAATCCCAGCACTTTGAGAGGCCAAGGCAAACAGATCACTTGAGGTCAGGAGTTTGAGACTAGCCTGGCCAACATAGTGAAACCCCCATCTCTACTAAAAATACAAAAATTAGCCTGCCATCGTGCTGCACACCTGTAATCCCAGCTACTCGAGAGGCTGAGGCAGGAGAGTTGCTTGAACCTGAGAGGGAGAGGTTGCAGTGAGCTGGGAGATTGTGCCACTGCACTCCAGCCTGGGCAACACAGCGATACTCTATCTCAAAAAAAAGAAAAAAAAAAAACGAAAAGTTATTTCTTCAATCTAATGTTTGCACCTGTTAACCAATCTCTCTTTATCACCCCACCCACCCATACACTCACCCCTGGTATCTGTCATGCCACTCTCTACTACCTCCATGAGGTCAACATTTTTTAGCTTCCACATATGAATGAGAATATACAATATTTTTTTTTCTGTACCTAATTTATTTCACATAACTTCTGGATGGAAGTTCCATCCACGTTGCTGCAAAAACATGATTTCATTCATTTTTGTGGCCAAATAGTATTTCAGTGGGTGTATAAACCACATTTTCTTTATTCATTCATCCATTGATGGACACTTTGGTTGATTCCATAACTTTACTATTGTCAACAGTGGTACAATACAAATGGGGAGAATTCAAGCAATTCTCCTGCTTCAGCCTTTCAAGTAGCTGGGATTACAGGCATGCACCACCATCCTGGCTAATTTTTGTATTTTTAGTAGATATGGGGGTTTCACCATGTTGGCCACGCTGGTGTTGAACTCCTGACCTCAAGTGATCTGTCTGCCTTGGCCTCCCAAAGTGTTGGGATTACAGGCATGAGCCACTGTGCCAGGTTGAAGAAGAAATGAGTTCTAATGTATCCTTTCAATATACTGATTTCCTTTCCTTTAGATAAATACCTAGTAATGAGATTGCAAGATTGTATGGTAGTTCTATGTTTAGTTTTGTTGAGACGTCTACATACTGTTTTCCCTAATGGTTGTACTAATTTACCTTCCCACCAACAGTGTATAAGAGCTCTCTTCTCCATGTGCTCACCATAATCTGTTCGTTGTTGTCTTTTTAATAATATCCATTCTAACTGGGGTAAGATGGTATCTTATTGTGGTTTTGATTTGCATTTCCCTGATGATTAGTTATGTTGAGCATTTTTTCATATACCTGTTGGCCATTTGTATGTATTCTTTTGAGAAATGTCTATTCATGTCCTTAGCCCTCTTTCTTTTTTTTTTTTTTTTTTTGAGAGAGAGTTTTGCTCTTGTCGCCCAGGCTGGAGCGTGCAATGGCACGATCTCGGCTCACTGCAACCTCTGCCTCCCAGGTTCAAGCAATTCTCCTGCCTCAGCCTCCCAAGTAGCTGGGATTACAGGTGCCCGCCACCACACCCTGCTAATTTTTGTATTTTAGAAGGGACGGATTTTCACCGTGTTGACCAGGCTGGTCTCAAACTCCTGACCTCAGGTGATCTACCCACCTCAGCCTCCCAAAGTGCTGGGATTACAGGCAATAAGCCACCGTGCTCGGCCCCTTAGCCCACTTTTTAATGAGATCTTTAGGATTGTTTGTCCGTTTACTGTTGAGTTGTTTGAGTTCTTTGTGTATTCTGGATATTGGTCTTTTGTCAGAGTAATAGTTTGCAAATATTTTCTCCCATTTGACAGGTTTTCTCTTTGCTCTGTTCATTGCTTCCTTTGCTGTGGAGAAGCTTTTTAGCTTAATGTCCTGAATGTGGCTTTTTCCATTCAGCTTAATCCCTTCAAATCCATCTGAGTTGTGTTGTATATCCAAAATAGTTTATTCCCTTTTATTGCTGAATAGTATTCCATTAAAAACAAATCACAGTTTGGTTAGCCATTCACCTATTGTAGGATATTTTTAATTTTTTCCAGTTTTCAGCTATTATAAATAAGGCTGCTGTGACCTCATATACAGGCTTTTGTGTGGAAATAAGTTTTCATTTCTCTGGGATAAATGCCCAGGAGTATAACTGCTGAATCGTACGGTAAGCGTATATTCAGTTTTTTATTTTTTAAACTGCCAAGCTATTTTCCAGAGTGGCTGTACCATTTTACATTCCCACCAAGAATGCGTGAGACCCAGTTTCTCTGCATCATTGCCAGCACTTGGTGTTGTCACTTTTTTATTTTAGCTGTTCTAATGGGTGTGTAGTGATGTCTCATCATGGCCCCAATTTTGTATTTTCCTAAATGGCTAATACTGTGGAACATCTCTTCATGTGCTTACTTGCCATCTGTGTATTTTCCATACCTTTTGTCTACTTTCTGATTGGATTGTTTCGCTTTTTTACTGTTGAGTTTTGAGAGTTCCTTATACACTCTAGATAACAGCCGACTCTTCATATTCCAAATCCACAGGGAACATAGACATAACCTTGCTTCTTCTGTTCATTAACAGATGACTGTGAAGCCTCCTGTCTCATTCTCACCCAGAATCAGGTCTACCTCCCTGTGAGGCTGTGCCCAGGATTGCATGGGGAGAAGCCTTGCATGACAGCTGGCTCAGCCCTGGTCCTCTGTGGCCTTGAAAGCTTCCTTGCCGTGACCTTTTTCTCTTCAGATGTTGCTTACCTTTGATGATCAATTCCTGCTGACCACTGCTGAGGACGGCTGCCTATTCACCTGGAAGGTCTTTGATAAGGATGGCCGGGGAATCAAGCGAGAGAGGGAGGTGGGCTTTGCGGAAGAGGTGCTTGTGACTAAAACAGACATGGAAGAAAAGGTAAGAACTGATCCAGTGAAGAGGGACATAGAATGCCTTACCAGTCTACATTCAGACGGGGGTCCGGCACCGGGGCCCTCTGCAGCCTGGCTACACCCTGTGCCCAGTGCAGACCCCACAGCTCCCTGCACACCCTCTGTCCACACAACCAAGCTGTCCTCCTCACTGCCACTGCCCACCCTACTCTGCCTATCTTCCTGCCATGTGATCATCTTGCCTTACACCGTGCTTAGCTTTTATTCTGTGATCTGGTGTTCCTCTTCCTACTCTCTGAAACCAAGAGCAACGAAACATACAATTCTCTTATATAACCAACAATTTCTAGCACATGCTGGGCACATGGAAGACAATCAATAAATACTTCCAGAAGCAAAGTATGTTCTCATTTAAATCTCACAACATCTCTTTGAAGAAGACACTGTCATTCTCCCCATGTTTCGAAAAACAAGTTAGGAGAGTTTGAGGGACGTGTCCAAAGTCAGTGTGCTGATGAGTAATAGGACTAGAGTTCTAATCCAGATTTAATCTAGAGCCCCCTCCCTTAATCACTATTTACAAAAGGGACATCCCTTCCTTCCTGTTGATGCAGTAAACATTCCGCAAAGGTGCGTTTTGCAGAGATATGAGTGCGTAGCCCTGTGCTGCGCTCCCTAAGGAAGAAGCTGAATGTATGATAAACTCGCGGCTCATGGAGGATCGCAAAGCTACACAGCCGTTGCTGTTCATCCAAAATCTAAGTGTGTTTATTGAATACCTACCATTTGCCAGGCACTGGGGATGCATGTCTGTCTGAAAAGACAGGCATGGGCCCTGTGACATGACCAGGAAGCTCACAGTCAAGTGAGGGATAGAAACAAGCAAAGCCACGGAGCAGCAATGCAACACTACCACAAAGCAGGGTGACAAGTCCCTGGCATTTGCTGGAGATCCCTTCTAGAGCTCCCTAGAATTTTCTGCAGGAAAAGCAAAGAGGGAGAAGAGGATAAGGGAGGGCCCATGAGAATGGGCGCCTGACCTGCTGCAGAAGGAGCCCTTCCTCCTCTCTCTTATCTTTTCTGTTCTTCCCCGAGGGTAGGGGAAGAGGCCAAATAGGAAACAGCAGGCTGAAGCAAAGGCCTGAAGGTGCCCAAGCTGACTTCTGAGCGCAGCCCCACATGGACCTGACAGTACTGCTGCCAGGCTAGAGATGACTCGCACTTGTACCACTCACTTCTTGAAGCTCCCTTCTGTCTTACCATCCATGTGACCACACTCTGTCCCCTGTAAACCTTTTTGACTCTTCCTCCCACTCCTGTGCTGGCTTCTCCTCCACCTGTCCCTTAAAAAGCATGTTCCCAGAATTCCCAGCTGTCTTTTCCTTTATATTCCATTATAGTCTATGTAACTCTCAGGCCATGATTTACTCACTTATTATTCATTCCCTGCCTAGGATTTACAGAGGGGTCTGCTATGTACCTGACAGTATACTAAGGTCTGGGATTACAGAGATAAAAGACATAGAGCATCCTTTAGCTTATAGCCTGGGAGGAGGGCAGAGTATCATAAAAAGGGGAATTAAGCATGCAGTGAGATTAAGTGTCATGGAAGAACAGTGCTGTGGGAGCCCAGGGGAAGGACCTTGGCTCAGACCCGGTGGTGCCAGAGGACATAAGCCTTGCTCGGAGCCTTCCAGAACAAATGGACAAGGGCCACTGAGCGATAAGCAGTGAGTGTGTACAGAGGGATGAGGGAGTGGTGGTCCGCAAAGCTGCTCCTAGTTAGGGTGTGCCAGAGAGAAGGGCTGAAGACGATGCTGGAGAGAAACAGATAGGTCGGGGGCCTTTTACACCATACATGAGGCTGGAGATTGTTCATAAGGACCGTTCATAGATTTAAGCTGGGGAATAACTTCATATGATTCGCATCTCAGAGAGATTACTCTGCAGCAACGTGGAGAATAGGTGGAGGAAGGACACTGAACGAGGACCTCAAACACAGCATGTCAAAGGCCAGGTCATCCCCATGGATAAATGTATCCCACTAGCCAGGGCAGACCCCTGGCATCATTGGTAAGTCTTTATTCAGTGCTGACCAGCTTGCTAGTCTTATTCTAGGTTCTGTGGATAAAGCAGTGAAGCAAGATAGGCCAAACCCCACCCTCAGGTACTGGCCCTTCTACCTGGGAGACAGCCTTCATCCATGATCCCTACCTCTCCACCCACACCCAATCAGGCACCACTCTCTCTAAACGCAACCTCTCCATTCCTCTCCAGTCCCCTCCCTACCTCACTCCAAACCGTCCATCTCTCACCTGGTCTGTGCAGTTCCCCCCGACCCGCCCCAGCAACTCATCATCCTGCCTTTGGTCCTTTAATCTAACCTGTGCTGCATACCGGCATTGGAGAGGTCTTTATAACCCCAAAGTCAGCCTGATCAGGTTCAATGAGGACCTTTGAAGCCCTCTAGGATAAATTCCAAACTTCCTAGCATGGCCAAGACACAGTCTTGGCGGCATCCTCCTGTGCCTCCCACCTGGACCATATCACCTACCCTGGCCGGGCATTCGTGCCCACCTCTCTGACTCTGCCCGTGCAGTTTGTGCTTATCCTTCATCTCAGTACTTCCTGTGCACCACATCAACAGTAGTCTGCTGGCCAGGAATGCAGAAATGTGCGTAATCCGTTCCTTGATGTCAGCTCGTTCACAGGTGCTAGAGGAGACAGACCAAAAATGATGAGATAGGGATGCAGGGGGTGTCCCCATAGATAAGCAAGAAGAAAACACTGCATTCTGTGGTCACTTTGTCATCAACAGTAGCTTTTTTAGAAATGAAGGGTGTGTGTATTACAGCATTTTTAGAAAACTTTGGCATCAGTGAGTACGATGGGAAAAGACACTAGGCCAGGCACAGTGGCTCAAGCCTATAATACCAGCACTTTGGGAGGCTGAGGCAAGAGGATCACTTGAGCCCAGGAGTTCGAAACCAGCCTGGGCAACATCGTGAGACCGCCCATCTCTACAAAAAATATAAAAATTAGCCAAGTGTGGTGGGGCATGCCTGTAGTCCCAGGTAGCTGGCAGGCTGAGGTGGGAGGATCACTTGAGCCCAGGAGGTCGAGGCTACAGTGAGCCGTGATCACACCACTGCACTCCAGCCTGGGTGACAGAGTGAAACCCTGTCTCAAAAAAAGAAAAGAAAAAAATAAGAATAAGAAGACACCAGGCATAAAAAACCAGTAAGACAGAGAGTTAGGACATAAAATAATAAAAGTGAGTCTAAGAAGACATCAAGAGGGACAGATTGACAGTACTGAGAACTACCCAGCTTTGGGCACTTACCACGATTTATAATAATGGGTTTATCTGGCTGTCATGGTAGACTCTAAGTTCGCCGGGGACAGGAGTCATTCTTCAGTACATATCTTCTGAGCTCCTACTCTGTGTTAGACACTGTTCCAGTACTTGGGATATATCAGCAAATAAACCCTACAAAGACTCTGGCCAATGAGAAGCTTAAGTTCTAACGGGGAAAGAAGAATAAAAACAATAAACAAAATAATCAGTAAATTATAGAAAGTACAGGATCTAAGGAAGCAATAAGTAGAGCAGAGTAAGAGAGGTGATGGGTCCTGGGAATGGGAAGGGGTTGCAGAATTAAACAGGTGGTCCAAGTCAGCCTCATCAGGCAGGAGACATTTAAGCCGACTTGAAAGAGATGAGTGCATTACTAACACAACGTATAAGGAAGGATATTTGAGGATAGAGGAGGAAGCTCATCTTTCTCCTTGTTTTTAGCCAGTGTATCGCCTGGGGAAAAGATGACAAGTTCTAGTTGAGACACATTGAGTTTGAAGCTAGGCAGAGCTGCAGGTCTCACGTCAAGGTCACCAGTTTAAATATTCTGATTCACCCTCACTGTCAGTGTTCTTGATTCTCTGTCCTTCTCCCAAAGGCCCAGGTTATGTTGGAGCTAAAGACTCGTGTGGAGGAATTAAAAATGGAGAATGAGTATCAACTCCGACTCAAGGACATGAACTATTCGGAGAAGATTAAGGGTCTAACAGACAAGTTCCTCCAGGAAATGGAGTCCTTGAAAACAAAAAACCAGGTCTGTTTAAGAGACTGAGCAACAACCACAAATAACCAGCAATTTCCACTTTCAAGACAGGACTGGTATATGCTGTCCAAGCTATGCTCAAACAGTAAGATATATGAAAATGTCCAGTTTTAAAGCATAGTTGATGATGTCAGAAATGCTTATAACTGGCCAGGCACTGTGGCTGATGCTTGTAATTCCAGCACTTTGGGAGGCAGAGGCAGATGAATCACTTGAGGTCAGGAGTTCAAAACCAGCCTGGCCAACATGGTGAATCCCCATCTCTAGCCAGGCATGGTGGTGCACACCCATAGTCCCTGCTACTCGGGAGGCTGAGGCACAAGAATCGGTTGAACCGAGGAGGCGGAGGTTGCAGTGAGCTGAGATCGCTCCACAGCACTCCAGCCTGGGTGACAGAGACTCCATCTCAATCAATCAATCAATAAAAATGCTTACAACCAACTGCTAAGTGAAAAAAAACAGAATATAAACCTTTATGGTGAATGGTATTAACTGGCATTAATGGTATTAAAAGATTAATTTATCTGATCTATAGTAGTAAAAAAACGTATAGAAAATAGATAACAGTATAATTATCTCTGGAAGTTGGGATTATAGATAATTTAAATTTTCTTTTTTTATATTTTTTGTAATTTCTAACTTCTCTAGGAGAAACTTATTTAAAAACAAAATGAAAAGATAAGAAAAAGCAAAAACATGAGAATATCAAAGCATAGATGGAGAATAACTGGCAGAATACTGATTTATGGTCAGGAAGTTAAATAAAATTAGTCTACATGGCCTTACGTAGTTAGATTTGGTCCAGGACTCTCCCAGATTCTTTTCTTTGTTCTACAGAAATCTGAACTCCCATCCAAAAATCCCCGCTAGGCAAGGTGGTTCACCCCTATAACCCTAACACTTTAGAATGCTTAGGCAGGAGGATCGCTTGCCTCTGAGAGCTTGATGCCAGCATGGGCAACAGAGTGAGACCCTGCCTCTACATAAAATGAGTCTACCATGGTGGCGTATGCCTGTAGTTCTAGCTACTTGGGAGGCTGGGAGGGCAGGATCACTTGAGCCTGGGAGGTAGAGGCTGCAGTGAGTCATGATCTCACCCCTGCACTCCAGCCTGGGTGACAGAGTGAGGCCCCATCCCCCACCCCCTAAAAAAAATCCCAATTATGTGCTTGAGGGATATTTGTTTCTTTAATGTCTATGGGTCAGAAAGTTTGGCTTAAAAAAACAAACCTTGTCTATTAATTATATTAATTAATTCGTCTTGTAATTTTATTCGTCTAGGCAACAAACATTTATTTGGTGCTCTATATAAGCCAAGCACAAAATTAGGTCCTGAAGATGGCACACCACCCCCAACTCTCCCCCACCAAGCCCAAAAGCTTTCCTGCTTGAAGAAAACACTTCCTCAGAAACTTACACTTGAGCACACCCAAGGATTTCCTTGACAGCAATGTGCCAGCAATGGAGGATTCCAATGAATCCCGACTTTTTCACCCAGAAGTCCTTTTGACATGTGTCCAAAACTGAAGTCATTGACAAACCCATTTGGTAGCAAGAATAGAAATAGGAGAAGTATAGAGCTTTTAGAGCAGAATATAACACAAATAAAAAGTGAGCATGTGGTTGTTTCTTCGTAGCACAGTACTTGGTACAAAATAAGGGCTTGGGAAATGTTTGTGAGCGAAGGAGGGGGCTACGTATAAAGTCAGTTCTCGCCCTAGGAGTGCTTTCCGCAGATGTGTGTAAATGAGGAGATGTGACTCTGTTTTAGGTCTTAAGAACAGAAAAAGAGAAGCAGGATATATCTCACCATGAGCGCATGGAAGAGCTCCTGGACAAGCAGAGCCGGGAACTGCAAGATCTGGGTGAGCCCAGAAGTAGAGGCCTTGTTGGTTAGGGTTGGGAAGAGTCAGGTTATGGGAAAACACTTGAGAGTCCTCCAGACACAAGTAGAAGTCTCAGGGAATACGGCCTTGTCTAAAGAGAGGCTATATGCATCCCCTGGAACTCACCATGGTTTTTACTTCTGTGTTTTTACTCATTCACTAAACACACATCCATGGCAGGAAAGTAGGAGACAAGGAGAAGTTCAAGTTTGGAACCTGACAGTCTTGCCTTGGGTCAGGCTCACCACATTCTTACCAGGTATTCTAGGGAGTCACCTAACCTTACCGAGCCTCACTTCACTCTTCTATAAAGTGGGGGTCCTAATACCTGTTTTTCATACTCAGGATATTCTTCTCGGCCCTGAGTCCCCAAATACCCCTCTAGGCTTTCCTAGAAACTTTTCTTCCCAGAGCAGGCAGGGAGGAGTTTGGCTGCCTGGTGAGATGATGGGTCGAGAAAGCCAGGCAGGCATTTGAATCTTGGGTCTGGAGACAGCTGCTCCGGCTGGTGCTGGAAGGGATGGGAAAGTGCCCAAGCCTCCCAGGTGTCCGTGAAGAGGGTGCTGCTCTCCAATCTTAAATACCTTCCTTGTTTCTCTCCAGAAAGTTGCAACAACCAAAAGTTGCTTCTAGAATATGAGAAGTACCAGGAGCTACAGCTCAAGTCCCAGAGGATGCAGGAAGAGTATGAAAAACAGCTCCGGGATAACGATGAGACCAAGAGCCAGGCCCTGGAGGAGCTGACGGAGTTTTACGAGGCCAAACTGCAGGAGAAAACCACCCTTCTAGAAGAGGTACTCACAGGAAGCCACGCTGTGCCTCCCTTTCACAGAGAATGGCCACCCATTCATTCAGATCGTCACTGCATAGCCACTGTGCACTGCATGCCAGGATGTGTTGTACACTGGGAATTCAACAGTGGCCACAACAGACAAGGTTTCTACCCTCAAGGAACTTATATCTAATGGGAGAGACAGCCAAATAAATAAACATTAGGACTGTTACAAGTTCTGTAGAGAATATAGGAAGCCTGGGTGTCCAGTGAACAAGATCAAAGGAGATCAGGGGTGGGGTGTTGGTAAGATCAGAGTTGTAAGGTCAGGAGTTCAAGACCAGCCTGACCAACATGGAGAAACCCCATCTCTACTAAAAATACAAAATTAGCTGGGCTTGGTGGCACATGCCTGTAGTCCCAGCTACTCAGGAGGCTGAGGCAGGAGAATCGCTTGAACCCGGGAGGCAGAGGTTGCAGTGAGCCAAGATCACACCACTGCACTCCAGCCTGGGTAACAAAAGCAAAACTCCATCTCAAAAAAAAAAAAAAAAAAAGAAGATTGAGTTTGAAGTGGTGGAGCATGAGGCCCGATTTGGTAGGAAAAGAGGGGAGGCAGGAAGACAGAAGGACAGACGGGAAGAAGGGTGACAGGTGAAGGGCCCCGTGGCCCTGGCCTCCATTTCTGGAATGACACTCACCTCCCATTCCCTGGGACAGGTCCCCATGCTCATCTCACCTCAAGCCCTGTTGGCACTAAGGTGAGTGAGTCCCTTCTCCCCTGACCACACATCTGCTCTCTCCTCCGAGCCAGGCACAGGAAGATGTCAGGCAGCAGCTGCGGGAGTTTGAAGAGACCAAGAAGCAGATTGAAGAAGATGAAGACCGGGAAATCCAAGATATCAAAACCAAGTATGAGAAAAAGCTTCGGGATGAAAAGGAATCAAACCTGCGGCTCAAGGGAGAAACAGGCATCATGAGGAAGAAGGTATCAGGCTGTTCTCCGAGAGCTAGGGGATGGTGAAGGTGTTGCGGAGGAAGCCAGGGTGGGTGGACTGACCGCCCTGGGGGGCCTGGCCAGGTCCTGCCTGTCCTTGTCTCCAGCGAGCAGGCTGACAGAAGAGCACCGGCCAGTGCACCTCCAAGCAGACGGACCCTCCCCACCACATCCTCGGAAAGGCAGCCACACGGGCTTCTTTCCACAGGATGTTGGGGTCCCTGTGCAGACAGAGGCTTTCTAGTTTTCACGTATTGGCTGGTAGGATTCAGTCAGTGTTTTCAGAGCTAACCCTCAGATGGAAATGGAAGTGGAAATAAGGTCTTCTGGGGATGAGACAGATGAAGTCTTAGCCTGGAGGCATCCTTGGGCTCTTGGTCCAGGGAGTCCTGGGTGGCTCCTGTTCAGCGCCAGGGGTGGGAGAGGGAATGGGGGTGTAGGATGCTTAGTTTACAAAGTGGGGAAGATGTTTTTAGTTCACTCATCGTCACAGGTGAGGAAGGATTCAACTCAGTTTCCTCAAAACATTTAGCCCTGGAGAAGCCAAGTTCAAAGCAAGCTCAGGTTTCTTCCTATTAGAAAGCACACCAGTAAATCCAGGGGACAATCAGTCTTCCCTTCTGGCTCCTGGCTAAGATGGTTCATCAGTTAGGCCCGTTTTCTGTGACCTGGATGCAGTGTGGATCCCAGCCTTTCCAGATCAGTGTGGTCATGGGAGTCTCTGGTCCACTTGGCATACTGGTCTCCG